TTAGGTGTGACTGTATACTGGGTTAGGTGTGACTGTGTACTGAGTTAGGTGTGACTGTATACTGGGTTAGATGTGACTGTGTACTGAGTTAGGTGTGACTGTGTACTGAGTTAGGTGTGACTGTATACTGGGTTAGATGTGACTGTGTACTGAGTTAGGTGTGACTGTGTACTGAGTTAGATGTGACCGTGTACTGGGTTAGATGTGACTGTATACTGAGTGTGACTGTATACTGAGTTAGGTGTGACTGTGTACTGAGTTAGGTGTGACTGTGTACTGAGTTAGGTGTGACCGTGTACTGAGTTAGATGTGACCGTGTACTGGGTTAGGTATGACCGTGTACTGAGTTAGATGTGACTGTATACTGGGTGTGACTGTACAGGGTTAGGTGTGACTGTGTACTGGGTTAGGTGTGACTGCGTATAGGGTTAGGTGTGACTGTGTACAGGGTTAGGTGTGACTGTGTACTGGGTTAGGTGTGACTGAATAGGGTTAGGTGTGACTATGTACTGGGTTAAGTGTGACTGTGTACTGGGTTAGGTGTGACTGCGTATAGGGTTAGGTGTGACTGTGTACAGGGTTAGGTGTGACTGTGTACTGGGTTAGGTGTGACTGTAGGGTTAGGTGTGACTATGTACTGGGTTAAGTGTGACTGTGTACTGGGTTAGGTGTGACTGTGTATAGGGTTAGGTGTGACTGTGTACTGGGTTAGGTGTGACTGTGTACTGGGTTAGGTGTGACTGTATACTGGGTTAGGTGTGACTGTGTACTGAGTGTGACTGTGTGCTGGGTTAGATGTAACTGTGTATAGGGTTAGGTGTGACTGTGTATAGGGTTAGGTGTGACTGTGTACTGGGTTAGGTGTGACTGTGTACTGGGTTAGGTGTGACTGTATACTGGGTTAGGTGTGACTGTGTACTGAGTTAGGTGTGACTGTGTGCTGGGTTAGATGTAAATGTATACTGAGTGTGACTGTGTACTGGGTTAGGTGTGACTGAATAGGGTTAGGTGTGACTATGTACTGGGTTAAGTGTGACTGTGTACTGGGTTAGGTGTGACTGTGTATAGGGTTAGGTGTGACTGTGTATCGGGTTAGTTGTGACTGTGTACTGGGTTAGGTGTGACTGTGTACTGGGTTAGGTGTGACTGTATACTGGGTTAGGTGTGACTGTGTACTGAGTTAGGTGTGACTGTGTGCTGGGTTAGATGTAAATGTATACTGAGTGTGACTGTGTACTGAGTTAGGTGTGACTTTGTACTATATTATGAGTGACTGTGTGCTGAGTTATGTGTGACTGTGTACTGAGTTAGGTGTGACCGTGTACTGAGTTAGGTGTGACTGTGTTCTGGTTTAGGCGTGACTGTATTGTGACTGTGTACTGGGTAAGATGTGACTGTATACTGTGTGTGACTGTGTACTGAGTTAAGTATGACCGTGTACTGGGTTAGTTGTGACTATGTACTGAGTTAAGTGTGACTGTATACTGTGTTAGGTATGACTGTGTACTGGGTTAGGTGTGCCTGGGTTAGGTGTGACTGTGTACTGAGTGTGACTGTGTACTGGGTTAGGTGTGACTGTGTACTCGTTTAGATGTGACTGTGTACTGAGTTAGGTGTGACTGTGTACTGAGTTAGGTGTGACTGTATACTGGGTTAGATGTGACTGTGTACTGAGTTATGTGTGACTGTGTACTGAGTTAGATGTGACCGTGTACTGGGTTAGATGTGACTGTATACTGAGTGTGACTGTATACTGAGTTAGGTGTGACTGTGTACTGAGTTAGATGTGACTGTGTACTAAGTTAGGTGTGACTGTGTACTGAGTTAGGTGTGACCGTGTACTGAGTTAGATGTGACCGTGTACTGGGTTAGGTGTGACCGTGTACTGAGTTAGATGTGACTGTATACTGAGTGTGACTGTATACTGAGTTAGGTGTGACTGTGTACTGAGTTAGGTGTGACTGTATACTGGGTTAGATGTGACTGTGTACTGAGTTAGGTGTGACTGTGTACTGAGTTAGGTGTGACTGTATACTGAGTTAGGTGTGACTGTATACTGAGTTAGATGTAACTGTATACTGAGTGTGACTGTGTGCTGGGTTAGATGTAACTGTATACTGAATGTGACTGTGTACTGGGTTAGGTGTGCCTGGGTTAGGTGTAACTGTGTACTGGGTTAGGTGTGACTGTATACTGGGTTAGGTGTGACTGTATACTGGGTTAGGTGTGACTGTGTACTGAGTTAGGTGTGACTGTATACTGGGTTAGATGTGACTGTGTACTGAGTTAGGTGTGACTGTGTACTGAGTTAGGTGTGACTGTATACTGGGTTAGATGTGACTGTGTACTGAGTTAGGTGTGACTGTGTACTGAGTTAGATGTGACCGTGTACTGGGTTAGATGTGACTGTATACTGAGTGTGACTGTATACTGAGTTAGGTGTGACTGTGTACTGAGTTAGATGTGAATGTGTACTGAGTTAGGTGTGACTGTGTACTGAGTTAGGTGTGACCGTGTACTGAGTTAGATGTGACCGTGTACTGGGTTAGGTATGACCGTGTACTGAGTTAGATGTGACTGTATACTGAGTGTGACTGTATACTGAGTTAGGTGTGACTGTGTACTGAGTTAGATGTGACTGTGTACTGAGTTAGGTGTGACTGTATACTGGGTTAGATGTGACTGTGTACTGAGTTAGGTGTGACTGTGTACTGAGTTAGATGTGACTGTATACTGAGTGTGACTGTATACTGAGTTAGATGTGACTGTATACTGAGTGTGACTGTATACTGAGTTAGGTGTGACTGTATACTGAGTTAGATGTGGCTGTGTACTGAGTTAGATGTGACTGTATACTGAGTGTGACTGTATACTGAGTTAGGTGTGACTGTATACTGAGTTAGATGTGACTGTATACTGAGTGTGACTGTATACTGAGTTAGATGTGACTGTATACTGAGTGTGACTGTATACTGAGTTAGGTGTGACTGTATACTGAGTTAGATGTGACTGTATACTGAGTGTGACTGTATACTGAGTTAGGTGTGACTGTGTACTGAGTTAGATGTGAATGTGTACTGAGTTAGGTGTGACTGTGTACTGAGTTAGGTGTGACCGTGTACTGAGTTAGATGTGACCGTGTACTGGGTTAGGTATGACCGTGTACTGAGTTAGATGTGACTGTATACTGAGTGTGACTGTATACTGAGTTAGGTGTGACTGTGTACTGAGTTAGATGTGACTGTGTACTGAGTTAGGTGTGACTGTATACTGGGTTAGATGTGACTGTGTACTGAGTTAGGTGTGACTGTGTACTGAGTTAGATGTGACTGTATACTGAGTGTGACTGTATACTGAGTTAGATGTGACTGTATACTGAGTGTGACTGTATACTGAGTTAGGTGTGACTGTGTACTGAGTTAGATGTGGCTGTGTACTGAGTTAGGTGTGACTGTGTACTGAGTTAGGTGTGACCGTGTACTGAGTTAGATGTGACCGTGTACTGGGTTAGGTGTGAGTGTATACTGAGTTAGGTGTGACTGTATACTGGGTGTTAGGAATGATGTTACGTCTATCTTATTCCCCTTATCTTCACCTGTAATTTAGTGATAGACCAAAACCTGTGTGATAGATATTACGGTTTGCGAGCATTGATTGGCTTGACAATAGCTGATAATGAGACACGCCTTCTCCAACTGTAGCTCTTCGCGTTATACAGTTATACACAGGTAGGAGGAAAATATCATCTTAGGTTCATCCATTATTCATCGTAGAATTACCATGGGGACAGATTGATATTTAATAAAATACGTTCTATCGTGCATTCCGCCATTTAAAAGCAATTAAACAAAATCCTTTTTACTTGTCAAAAGTACAGCTCCCAATCCAATTCCATTTCCCACTCGGTCAGGCCATTGCAGGTATTGCATTTTCATACGTTTTGCCATCAATTCCCTCTATATACTCGGTCGTCAATCCGCTCGTGAATGGAACAGACGGCTCCTCACACAGGTACAGCTCATCAACTCAGCAACGCCCATCTGTACAGGAAGGTGATAAAAATGAGATTCGCTTCAAATTCACTTCCTCTGTCGCCAGAACTAGACTCGGCAGTCCAGTGACCGCGATCACAATCTGACCAATCACATGGATCGTACCGAAGTGATACGGACGTGGGACTGATTGCAAGTTCGGAACTGTCCACCATGACGTGAGTACCGTGACGGATGACAGACAAGCATGGCCAGACTTGTACATCCGGTATCGGAGTATACAACCCCAGCATTCGAATACGAAAGGTCAGTGTTATCTCACAGCTCACAAGGATGGTCAGTGTTATCTCACAGCTCACAAGGGTGGTCAGTGTTATCTCACAGCTCACAAGGGTGGTCAGTGTTATCTCACAGCTCACAAGGGTGGTCAGTGTTATCTCACAGCTCACACGGGTGGTCAGTGTTATCTCACAGCTCATAACGGTGGTCAGTGTTATCTCACAGCTCATAACGGTGGTCAGTGTAATCTCACAGCTCATAACGGTGGTCAGAGTTATCTCACAGCTCACAAGGGTGGTCAGTGTTATCTCACAGCTCACAAGGGTGGTCAGTGTTATCTCAGAGCTCACAAGAGTGGTCAGTGTTATCTCACAGCTCACAAGGGTGGTCAGTGTTATCTCACAGCTCATAACGGTGGTCAGTGTTGTCTCACAGCTCACAACGGTGGTCAGTGTTATCTCACAGCTCATAACGGTGGTCAGTGTTATCTCACAACTCATAACGGTTGGTCAGTGTTGTCTTACACATCACAACGGTGGTCAGTGTTGTCTCACAGCTCACAACGGTGGTCAGTGTTGTCTCACAGCTCACAAGGGTGGTCAGTGTTATCTCGCAGCTCACAAGGGTGGTCAGTGTTGTCTCACAGCTCACAAGGGTGGTCAGTGTTGTATGACTACTCACAAGGGTGGTCAGTGTTATTTCAAACCTCACAAGGGTGGTCAGTGTTGTATGACTACTCACAAGGGTGGTCAGTGTTATCTCAAACCTCACAAGGGTGGTCAGTGTTGTCTGACTGCTCACAAGGGTGGTCAGTGTTGTCTCACAGCTCACAAGGGTGGTCAGTGTTATCTCAAACCTCACAAGGGTAGTCAGTGTTGTATGACTACTCACAAGGGTGGTCAGTGTTATCTCAAACCTCACAAGGGTGGTCAGTGTTGTCTGACTGCTCACAAGGGTGGTCAGTGTTGTCTCACAGCTCACAAGGGTGGTCAGTGCTGTCTCACAGCTCACAAGGGTGGTCAGTGTTATCTCAAAGCTCACAAGAGTGGTCAGTGTTGTCTGACTGCTCACAAGGGTGGTCAGTGTTGTCTGACAGTTCACAAGGGTGGTCAGTGTTGTCTGACAGCTCACAAGGGTGGTCAGTGTTTGGTTGGTTATATGCTTGGGGTCAAATAAATGACACTACCTGTGGTGACTGGGGACGACATAGTGGTCAGTGTAGTAACATCACAGCTTTAGCTACACTGAACTGTGTAGGGTGATGTCGGACAGGTTAACGTTACTAAGATGGTTCAAGTCCTTGTGTGATTGTCAATGTGGTACCCGCGAATCTCCATTTTTCAGGGAATATGGGTGTTCTTTGTAGGAAGATACATCAACCTAGTTTGTAAATAGTTCTAATGTAGGTAGTCACTTACATGTACTTCGTAGACATACAATTGGACTAGGCTGATTGCCGGTGGCCAGGTAAGGTTGTTAGGTAAAACATCTGTTTAGAGGTCGGAGGTCACTGGTTCGAGTCAAAGGTTTATGTCAAGTTAATACAAAAGAGCTGTTGATGCCCCATAGGTATACCAATCTTTGATAACATTTCGTCGATGTGGTCATTTCTATCACTATATATAGTAGTCAGTGATTTAACCTTTCTACTGATAAGATGTAACACTATTGTTTGTAGTCAATGTTGTACTAAAGGTCAGAGGTGAACACCTATTTCTATTCGACAGCAATGTATCATGAATTCGGACCGAAAACGGCGTGACATTTTTTGGTTGATACCTCGACATCTTTGTCTCTATTTCGGTAACATCTTCCATGACCAGACAGTGGAATGTTTTCTTGATTTGTGATTGATGAAATTGCCGTTCATTAATACTGGCTTTAAAACATCCTTTCTAGTGGTCAGTTATCAAACTGTCGTAGCCGGATTGTCAGTAGATTGTCAGTGGTGTATGTTCTAACCGGATTCTCAGTGACATGTATGGCCTAACCGGATTGTCAGTGATGTATGCCCTAACCAGATTGTCAGTGGTGTAAGGTCTAACCGGATTGTCAGTGATGTATGCCCTAACCGGATTGTCAGTGATGTATGACCTAACCAGATTGTCAGTGATGTATGACCTAACCGGATTGTCAGTGGTGTAAGGTCTAACCGGATTGTCAGTGATGTATGGTCTAACCGGATTGTCAGTGATGTATGGTCCAACCGGATTGTCAGTGGTGTAAGGTCTAACCGGATTGTCAGTGATTTATGGCCTAACCGGATTGTCAGTGATGTGTGGTCTAACCGGATTGTCAGTGGTGTGTCCTAACCGGATTATCAGTGGTGTATGTCCTAACCGGATTGTTATTGGTGTATAGCCTAACCAGATTGTCAGTGATGTATGGCCTAACCGGATTGTCAGTGGTGTGTCCTAACCGGATTGTTAGTGGTGTGTCCTAACCGGATTGTTAGTGATTGATGGTCTAACCGGATTGTCAGTGATGTGTGACTATGATTCTAAGTGTTTGTTTCATGTCTTTATGCCTGTTGTCAAAGACATGACACTTGTATTAGAATGTGATACACTTTTTCTGTTGATGGTGTTTAGCGATACCTAATGATTTTGTGATAGGACAATATCCCTTTATTCAGTGGTGTAGCCGTTTACCGTATGGTCAAGGACATGACACCATCTCTTTACTCAGTGGTGTGGCCGTTTACCGTATGGTCTAGGACATGACACCATCCCTTTACTCAGTGGCGTGGCCGTTTACCGTATGGTCTAGGACATGACACCATCCCTTTACTCAGTGGCGTGGCCGTTTACCGTATGGTCTAGGACATGACACCATCCCTTTACTCAGTGGCGAGGCCGTTTACCGTATGGTCTAGGACATGACACCATCCCTTTACTCAGTGGCGAGGCCGTTTACCGTATGGTCTAGGACATGACACCATCCCTTTACTCAGTGGCGTGGCCGTTTACCGTATGGTCTAGGACATGACACCATCCCTTTACTCAGTGGCGTGGCCGTTTACCGTATGGTCAAGGACATGACACCATCCCTTTACTCAGTGGCGTGGCCGTTTACCGTATAGTCTAGGACATGACACCATCCCTTTACTCAGTGGCGTGGCCGTTTACCGTATGGTCTAGGACATGACACCATCCCTTTACTCAGTGGCGTGGCCGTTTACCGGATGGTCTGTAGCGTGAACAATTCCCTTTTTTCAGTGCTTGGTCCCTATTGGTGATATGGTTTTCACCTCGCTTAACTTGATTCATTTAAAATTTCGTTCCCGAAGAATAACAAATATTTCAACAAATAGATAAGAAACTACAACTGACTTTAAATTAAATGTGAAGTATGTTGCTCGTAAATTGAAATAAAAATAAATAAGCAGTAATTTGGCGATACTTATCTGCTGTATATCAAATTGCGAGTGATTTTCTTCTCAAAGTTAACTCAATATCAAGTAGTGCAGCTGGTTTTGAAATAGCAACACAGTAACAGCGATGTCTTATAGGTTTTAGGGGCCCTCGTGGTACGCTTTATACCACTAGGGCATGTGGATGGGTTAATGAAGTCCTCTTTCTATTAAAAACAGGTTCAATATTCGTCAAGAAATGAAAAGATACAAATTAATAAAACAATAATTTAACTCAAAACAAGACAATATTTCAATAAGTAATGTTTTGTCGATTTGAAACATCGCTTAGGCAGTGGTAAGAAGGAGTATGGTCTGGTTAGCATTCATCGATCTCACATAATTACATATGAGATAAAATAACGCACTATCGTCACTCAATTGTATCTGAAGGAATATCCTGGAAACATCATAGCTGATTCATAAAATCCGGAATCGACCAGTATAACTAGAGCTGTCAACCTGTCCTGTGGTGGGATCGCTATTGGACCAAACTTTATGTCCCTTTTAATGTTATTACTGTTTTATCTTACGAGGTATGATTAGTCTATCATTTGGAGAGGAAATTCTCATAGAAAGATTACCATACACATACATAGGGTCGGCTAACATACAGAGAAAGATTACCATACACATACATAGGGTCGGCTAACATACAGAGAAAGATTACCATACACATAAATAGGGTCAGCTAACATACAGAGAAAGATTACCATACACATACATAGGGTCGGCTAACATACAGAGAAAGATTACCATACACATCCATAGGGTCGGCTAACATACAGAGAAAGATTACCATACACATCCATAGGGTCGGCTAACATACAGAGAAAGATTACCATACACATCCATAGGGTCGGCTAACATACAGAGAAAGATTACCATACACATCCATAGGGTCGGCTAACATACAGAGAAAGATTACCATACACATCCATAGGGTCGGCTAACATACAGAGAAAGATTACCATACACATACATAGGGTCGGCTAACATACAGAGAAACATACACAAGATTTAAAATAATGTATAGTCATAGTTGGGATGTTATCCTAGACAGTACTGATAGAGTTCTAGTTTAATGTTATTCTAGTCAGTACTGATAGAATTCTAGTTTAATGTTATTCTAGTCAGTACTGATAGAATAGTTCTAGTTTAATGTTATTCTAGTCAGTACTGATAGAATTCTAGTTTAATGTTATTCTAGTCAGTACTGATATAATAGTTCGAGTTTAATGTTATTCTAGTCAGTACTGATAGAATTCTAGTTTAATGTTATTCTAGTCAGTACTGATAGAATTCTAGTTTAATGTTATTCTAGTCAGTACTGATAATAGTTTAATGTTATTCTAGTCAGTACTGATAGAATAGTTCTAGTTTAATGTTATTCTAGTCAGTACTGATAGAATAGTTCTAGTTTAATGTTATTCTAGTCAGTACTGATAGAATTCTAGTTTAATGTTATTCTAGTCAGTACTGATAGAATTCTAGTTTAATGTTATTCTAGTCAGCACTGATAGAATTCTAGTTTAATGTTATTCTAGTCAGTACTGATAGAATAGTTGTAGTTTAGAATAGTTGTAGTTTAATGTTATTCTAGTCAGTACTGATAGAATTCTAGTTTAATGTTATTCTAGTCAGTACTGATAGAATAGTTCTAGTTTAATGTTATTCTAGTCAGTACTGATAGAATTCTAGTTTAATGTTATTCTAGTCAGTACTGATAGAATTCTAGTTTAATGTTAGTTTAATGTTATTCTAGTCAGTACTGATAGTTCTAGTTTAATGTTATTCTAGTCAGTACTGATAGAATTTTAATGTTATTCTAGTTTAATGTTATTCTAGTCAGTACTGATAGAATAGTTGTAGTTTAATGTTATTCTAGTCAGTACTGATAGAATTCTTTAGTTTAATGTTATTCTAGTCAGTACTGATAGAATTCTAGTTTAATGTTATTCTAGTCAGTACTGATAGAATTTTAATGTTATTCTATCAGTTATTCTAGTCAGTACTGATAGAATTCTAGTTTAATGTTATTCTAGTCAGTACTGATAGAATTCTAGTTTAATGTTATTCTAGTCAGTACTGATAGAATTCTAGTTTAATGTTATTCTAGTCAGTACTGATAGAATTCTAGTTTAATGTTATTCTAGTTTAATGTTATTCTAGTTTAATGTTATTCTGATAGAATAGTTCTAGTTTAATGTTATTCTAGTCAGTACTGATTATTCTAGTCAGTACTGATAGAATAGTTCTAGTTTAATGTTATTCTAGTCAGTACTGATAGAATTCTAGTTTAATGTTATTCTAGTCAGTACTGATAGAATTCTAGTTTAATGTTATTCTAGTCAGTACTGATAGAATAGTTCTAGTTTAATGTTATTCTAGTCAGTACTGATAGAATTCTAGTTTAATGTTATTCTAGTCAGTAATGATAGAATTCTAGTTTAATGTTATTCTAGTCAGTACTGATAGAATTCTAGTTTAATGTTATTCTAGTCAGTAGCTGATAGAATTCTGATAGAATTCTAGTTTAATGTTATTCTAGTCAGTACTGATAGAATTCTAGTTTAATGTTATTCTAGTCAGTACTGATAGTATAGTTGTAGTTTAATGTTATTCTAGTCAGTACTGATAGAATAGTTGTAGTTTAATGTTATTCTAGTCAGTACTGATAGAATTCTAGTTTAATGTTATTCTAGTCAGTACTGATAGAATTCTAGTTTAATGTTAT